GCCAATGGAGAACTCATTTTACAGTCAGCGTCCTCAACAACAGTTTCCTCAATAAGTATAGACAGACATTTATGAGTAGCTTTGCATACTTATCTATGTAATAAATGTGCAGTTTATGTTGTACAGGGATGCTGTACTGCAGTTAAAACGTTTTAACCCGTAGTACATTGCAGTATATGAAATCATATAATTTGTTGTAAAATAACTGCAGGACATTGCAGTCTAAATACCTTCCCCATAATATTGTAATGTAATTGAAATTTAAAGTTCCTATTCCTTTATGATTGAATGAACATCGTTTAGTGTTTTTAGTCAGAACATTGAAAAAAATAAAAAAGCACTCATCAACAACTAGTGCTTTGTTAAAAAAGATGTATAACTTCCTTGTAGTACTTCTGTATTATACAGCTAAGGTTCAGGGCAATACAAATTAAACTCAATTTAGCATAAATGCTGGTAAAGGGATAGTTCACACAAAAAATAATGTTTGCAACCAAGCAGATCTCACCCCCCATTGACTACCATAGTACTTTCCCCTACCATGGTCAATGGGGGGCGAGATCTGCTTGGTGCAAACATTCTTCCAAATAGCTTCCTTTGTGTACAGCAGAACAAAGACATTTACAGGTTTGGAACAACTTGAGGGAGAGTAAATGATGATTTTGGGGTGAACTGTGCCTTCAAGTTCAGCAGAACATCAGCTGCACTGCAGAGTCAGTGAACACAGTTCAGAGTTGAGTTTGGTTATATTCGGCTATACATGTGTGGTAAATTTACATGAACAAAAGTGATAAAACTTTTGTAAATTGTAGTAATTTGGATGCAGTGAAAGTTTAGTATTATTCAGCAATGTGCTTGTTGTAGCCTACTGTGTCGAATTTATCACACTTGAAGTAAAAGCGAAAGTAATAAAAGCAAATTCTCGTGACAATCAGTTCTCATAATCTACAAACACTGGGTCTTTAATGTAGTTTACAATATCATAACTGTACGTTCAATAACACTGCATATGAAAACGTATTTAATAAATTTGTTGACGTCATATGATCTTGAAATATGCATAATGATAATTACAATATAATTTATACGATTTAAACGATTACAAATCAGTCATTTTGTTCAGAACAGTTAAGCTGTCGAAATATAATGATCCGGGTTTGAATCACATTCAAGGAACACCAAAAGCAGCTCATTTTATGGTTACATGAAGAATACCCTGATACATTTTGAACTTACCACAAGATTTTAACGAAAGCTTCGGAATGGTGTCTCCTCTTTTACTTTCGTTATCTGGTGTAACTCCCCTCATGAGTGAGTCTGAGAGCAGTTGTGCTGTAACCCAGAGCTAACCACTGGTGTTTGGGGGATCTCGACCAGATGAGCTGGAATCCTCTGAGTAACGGCGTGTGTGTGTGTGTGTGTGTGTGTGTGTGTGTCAGTCCTTCAGCGTCTGTTCATCAGAGAGATCTCATCCGTGTTCACAAACCACAATAGGGAAGTTATGCCCTCAGGGAAGGCTTCTGCACTGTAAACCTTTCACAAACCAGCCTCAATCTAAAACAAGTGATTATAACCCAGCGGTCTGTGTGTTATTATAAACTGATGTTAAACGTGAATAACGGCTGTTTTCCACATTCTCGCCGTTGAAGAGCTTTCTGTCAACAAACAAATCAAGCAGCTGCAGCTCGAGAGGAAACTGGGTCCAGTCTTCTAGTGACCGACTTTTTGAGCTATAGGACTACTCGTTATACAATTAACAGGCAGTATAAAAAACACAGATTAATAAAAGGGTTAAAAGCGAATGAAATAGAAATGGCAGAAGGAGTTTCAACACATTCAAGGACAAGTTGGTCCAGAAAGAAGAAAATATGTCAAGAGGATGTTTTAATTTCCAGAAAGTGAATTAGACATTGTTCATTAAAGCAGTGTTTGTATGGAATTATTTTTGTGCCGATAAAAATGAACGTAACTTTTCAAGAAACTGAAGAAAATATAAATTGAAACTGAAAAAGAATAAATCGCGGGCACATTTTTTTTTTACTTCGTTCTTAATACATCTTAATACATCATTTCTGATTAATTTGTGATGCAGAGTTTTTGAACTAAGACCACAGACCACGTCTCTGTTCATGATATGTAAACACACAATTATTTTGAAGTATCACCCCCTGGTCACAATATTTATTCTGATTACTTTTGTGTGATAAAGATGACTGATAAAGCTATTATATGTAGCTAGTATGAGTAACAAAATGCTTTTTCTGTGTCCATATTTGACTAATAATAATGCAAAAATGTTCACTTCAAATTAACATTTCTGAGAAAAATGTTTAATCTTTAATACTCTTTAATAATAAATATATGTCCAAATTCAAAACTTAATACATGCAAGTAATTATGACTGAAAACATCCAGCAACTAGGGAATAGGCTCTATGCACAGCTGCACTAATGGCCATTAGTCAGGCACACCTGAACTAATCAGTTTGTCCAATAATGGCAGACAGGAAACAAAGGAGCTGCCTGAAGTAGTGCAGCTGTGCGTAGAGCCTATACACAGCCACATGTTTATATAAAGGGCTATAACAGCCATCTACTGGTTACACAGCAGTATTACAGATGATAAATGGTGCATGACTCAGATGTAAATATTTAGTACTGTAAAATACCTAAAAAAACATTTATATCATTTGTTTGAAATAAATATTTTAAGTCTTCAACTTGTTACTGCATGTGGGAGTTCAAAGCAGTTTGTATTGTTAGATTATAATATGTTTCCTTTATCATTTTCTAGGGAGTTGAGCAACTTTTCCATAAACACAATTCTGCTGCTGACACAGAGGATGGAGTGATAATACCAGAGATCCACACCAGACAATCATCTGACTTAGTTCAGACACATCACCTTTGAATGACTGGGATCTTGATCTTCAGACACCTGATGTATTTTATTGTTATAAAATAGCAAATATTTTAATTTCCTCTAGATCAAAACAAACACAGTCCACAAGTACACACGAGGTTGCACTTTATTCATATTAGTCTATGCTGATCCTGGATTAGCATACCAACAGCATATGAATGGGATAGTTCACCCAAAAATACAATTCTCACTTATTTTACTCACCCTCATGCTGTCCCAGATGCATTTTACTTTCTTTCTACAGATAAACACGAATGAAGATATTAAGGAAAGTAATCCATCTCTGCGAGTCCTAAAGATGCTTTAAAAACCACACACACAGTGAGCGTGATGTCCATGCGACCTCAGTGGACGAAGCAATGCCTTCTGGAGGGAAACAATAGGCTAGAAAAATACTAATAATGTAAACCGTTTAAAACTATTAAAAATCACTTCCGACCAACTGTCATACGTACATGAATTACAATCCACTTGTATTATATGGACTCACAGAGACGGATTATTTCCTTAAAAATCTTTATGTTTATGTGAAGAAAGAAAGTCATATACATCTGGGAAAGGACTATCCTTACCCACCCAGTCCCTGCTTTGCTACTTTTACTATAACAGGAACTGTTCAAAGGATCATAGCATCATTTAAAATGTATATGAATTTTAAATATGTATTCTGTATTTGTAATTGTGCATTTTGTATAGTAATGTATATCATGATAATACTGTGCATTGCATGTATAGTATGCAGGGAATGTTTTGTGGATTCTGGTCTTTCCTGTCACAACATAATCGCATCCAAGACTTTCACTTTGATACTTGTGTATGTGCCGTATTGACAATAAAGAATGTACATTTATTTGAATTCATATTTTTAATCACTTTCATTTAACTGGTTGTATTAGTCACAATTGAAACTGTTGATGATTGTTAAATTTTTAAATGTTACAAGATAATATTAACTAAATTAAATAACTAAATAAAATTATCAGCATGATAAAAAACATTCTTTGTGTGAAATATGTAATGAAATGCCCTTTGAGGTCTGTATCATTTGACAGCAGGCCACGATTGTAATTTTCATATTGTTTGAATTCCTCTTATTAATGTTGGAGTAAATGCATATGCTAACGATGAGTAATGTGATGGCCATGGTTGCCAACCTTGATTACCTGGTTGAAGTGAAACTTTCTTCTTGACGGCTGAATATATCACACACTATGCTAGTATTATTTTTAAATTGTAACACTTCAACCTAATCAGAGCCTAACATGCAAAAGAATCATCAGGAATAAACAAATATTCTCCGAAAACATTGGACACTATACAATATTTTCAGTATTATACAATAGGCCTACTTTAATGTACAATTACACCTGAATAGTGAATAGACTGACTCGATCTCTTGCGCTCCTAAAAGCTTCTGTTGATAAAGTAGTAGCAGCAGGTAAATACAGATCAAATTCAAAAACAAACATAACTTAATATCAGTAAAATTAAATAGAAACCTGCGCATACAGACGCTCACATCCACACGTGTAAACGCAACACTGACGTCTTCACTTCCAGGTCACGAAGCTGTCAATCAAAAACTCAGCAGCCAATGAGAACACACTGCTACTAGCCCCGCCCCCACGAGAGATATGTGTCAGAACTGCGAACGCAAACTCTGGAAGCGCATTTGTAAGTTCAGATCAGCGAAAGAAATATGAGAAATAGTTAGCAAAACATGCTGTGTATTAAGAACGAAGTAAAAAAAAATGTGCCCGCAATTTTTTTCAGTTTCAAAGATATTTTTTTTCAGTTTCAATTTATATTGTCTTCAGTTTCTTGCAAAGTTACGTTCATTTTTATCGGCACAAAAATAATTCCATATGGGCAAAAGCAATCAATAATTTACGGTGAATTATTTCATTAAAAGAAGCAAATTTGATGAATAGCGAATATAGGATAGAGTCTTATTAAGTTTTTTTAAGCACACTGCCGTGTTGTTTCCCAACGGGTGGCGGGACTCGAGTGCGCCATTTCAATAAAACCCCAGAAGAAGACGTCGAGAGGAAAAGGAAGTGGCGTCATTACGTGATCGTGTGTCGAGCAGCCATTGACCAGAGACGCTGCACCGTGTTTAAATGATACTCAGCTAAACCCGCGACGGAGAAGGAGAGTTTGTGACAGCAGCCATGAGGAGGAATAAAGCGGAGGTGGAGCGCTATATTTCCGCAGTTCAGAGCGCCTCTCCCTCTCAGAAACAGGTAAGAAGCGCGAGCCAGGCCGGGTGATGTCAGAGTTAGCCGAGAACGCGCGCGGTCACTCAAACCGTCCAACAGAAGTGCAGCGCTAATGTTGACATGTTTAGCTAACTCTCTTTCACTGCTTTAGCTGAAGTTAGTCTTTAACTAGAACAAAACCCGTAATCCTTGCCCGTTTTCTCTCGCCGTGTCCCGAACCGTGTTTATAACTCATTACTAGCACGTGTTTATTATTATATCTTCTCCCTCGCTGTGGGTAAAAGTGTCTGCTAAGTTAATAAATGTTACTGTAGATGTCCACTTGTTCGCTGTAAACACTTATAATTGAGCAGAACTCAACATTTGAGGTTATAAATGACAATACAAATTTAATAAACCTGATGATTGAGTTGGTATTGGTAGATCTTCGGGTGTTGATTGTGTTCCACACACCCGCATATTGAAGTGTTTAATAAGATCATAACTCATACAGGTTTGGCCTCATATAAATGTAGAAATGATGAATGTTGATGGGCTGATTGATAGTGTTATTGTAATGGCCTCGTCTCTGAACAGTGAGGATAAAGTGCCTGTAGGGCTGGGTAAAAATGATCATTTATCGATTAAAATCGGTTCTCATTTTGCCGAACAGATATCGCTTCATTCATCCTAGAAATCCATCTTTTAGTCTAGGCTGTTTTCAGCGGATGAGCAGAACATTAGAGCAGCAAACACACATCAGTGAACATCAGGAGTGTTAAAGATGCAGACCTCAGTCTCCTGTAATCTCACTTCAGTTCCTGCTTTCAGTGCTGAAGAATATACATTATTACACAGATATTGTTTAATTGTGACACTAACCTGTTTTGTGTCTTGCAGAATTCAGTGAAAGGGTTTCTGTTTGCCAAACTTTACTTTGAGGCTAAAGAATATGAGCTTGCTAAAAGGTAAGTTAACTCCTCTGCTCTGTCTTCTGTGTAATGCCTGTGTGTGTTTCTCTGTGAAGTGATGTGTGTGTGTGTGTGTGTGTCTGTGAACTGATGTGTGTGTGTCTGTGAACTGATGTGTGTGTGTCTGTGAACTGATGTGTGTGTGTCTGTGAACTGATGTGTGTGTGTCTGTGAACTGATGTGTGTGTGTCTGTGAACTGATGTGTGTGTGTCTGTGAACTGATGTGTGTGTGTCTGTGAACTGATGTGTGTGTGTCTGTGAACTGATGTGTGTGTGTCTGTGAACTGATGTGTGTGTCTGTGAACTGATGTGTGTGTGTCTGTGAACTGATGTGTGTGTGTCTGTGAACTGATGTGTGTGTGTCTGTGAACTGATGTGTGTGTGTCTGTGAACTGATGTGTGTGTGTCTGTGAACTGATGTGTGTGTGTCTGTGAACTGATGTGTGTGTGTGTTTCTCTGTGAACTGATGTGTGTGTGTCTGTGAACTGATGTGTGTGTGTGTTTCTCTGTGAACTGATGTGTGTGTGTCTGTGAACTGATGTGTGTGTGTGTTTCTCTGTGAACTGATGTGTGTGTGTCTGTGAACTGATGTGTGTGTGTGTTTCTCTGTGAACTGATGTGTGTGTGTCTGTGAACTGATGTGTGTGTGTGTTTCTCTGTGAACTGATGTGTGTGTGTGTCTGTGAACTGATGTTTCTCTCACACCACTGGATCACAGGCATGTTTCGGAGTATTTGACGGCTCAGCCGAGGGATGCTAAAGCGCACCGGTTCCTCGGGCAGCTGTTCGAGCGGGACGGGGAAACGGACAAAGCTGTGGGATGCTACAAGGTTCGTTCCTTCGTTTACTCTGACGTGTTTCCCTACGGCCTTCGCTCTTTCTTCTCGAGACACACACTGACTGGACAATCTCAATCATACTCACTTTTACCGCAAACTATCAAACGTTAAATCCGTCATAAACCTCATGTCTGCTCATCAGTCGGTCATCCCTGAACATGCAGTATGCAATGCAATAAATACAAAAGGAGGGAAAATAACATTATCATTTACCAGTCACTCTGTAACTGAGACCGGAGGATTTCCCTTAATGACCAAAAAGCAGGATTTACGAATATATTCATCCCAGAATATATTGAATGATAATGAAGTTGTTTTTCTACATTACCCATCATGCATCTAAGCATCCTAGAGCTGGAAAGAGCCCTGACCCTTTACAGCAGCACACCTGCCTCGGTCTGACGGAGTCAGTGCGATTGGTCGAGCGCGTTCACATGAGCGCGTTTATCTCTCACGCTTCAAATCGGGATAGATTGTTTGACATGCGCTCACGAATATACAGAGTTTCCCGGTGTTTGTGCATTTCTATTCTCCTACACTGGTTCTTTATTAGAATGTATTAGAAAGTCTAGTAGTCTTAATATTTTTCGGTCTTTCAGTTTCGGTTTTCAGCCCGATCAGGTGTTCACATGTTCTCTCGATCGATTAGAAAAGGAATAAACCGACCCTTTCAGGCCATGTCCACACGGACACGGGTATTTTTATAACCGGAGTTTTTCCTACAGCGTTTTTAAAAAAAATCCCGTCCACACATGCTCGGTCTCCGTCTACATGAAAACGTAAAAACACACAATCAAGCGCTGTCAAGAGCATGCCACGCCAGCAGGCGGCGATATAACCCTTAACCCTAAAGCCACGTTGGCCAATCAGAAGCGCAAATCTGATGTCAAACACAGCGGATAACGGCGCACACTCTGACGTCGCAAGGCAAAAACCCCGGTTTCACTGTCTACACGACAACACTGTAACCGGCGTTTCTGAAAATCCTCACCCTGGCAGGGGTTTTCAAAAATGTTCGGTTTCAGTGCGTTTTCGTGTGGACGAACGGCCGAACCGCGTAAAAAAAGTCACGGTTATAAAAATACCCGTGTCCGTGTGGACAGGGCCTCAGTCCGATCGAAGTTTCATTGGGATCGAGCTCGGATCGATTACAGGAAGGCTTTCAGCGCGGTTGAGCCGTCAGTCCCGCTCCTAACGGATTATTTGGTTGCATGTAAACGTAGCCAGTATCATGGACATAAGGGCAGAGCAATATCTTTTTATATTTTTATGTATGTTTAAATATCTTTTCTAGTCTATATTTTAGGGCTGGGTATCGATTCAGATGTTCAAATTCGACTCTCGATTTCAACTCCTGATTCTCGCTTCGACTATAATGAATATAGATGTAATACAAATCCTATATTTATAACAAAAAGAACAGTGGACATAAGTTTACAAGTGGTTAATTAATACAAAGAAATTAAGAGCCACAAACCTGTATAAAACTCTTTTTATTTTAGGTACACTATACACTAAATGCATACAATGAATGGACAGGATTTTGATGCAAGATGCTAAATTGATGCTGAAAATTGGAGAAGTCAGAAAAGTCGCACGCCTTGATCAAACAGGATCAGGTTATTTTATGTTTAAGATAGATAGATAAATAAATATCAGTTATCATTTGTTAGACGATTTTTTATTACATTGATCTCACCCACAAATGTTTGTTTTTACAATGGGGTATTTTTTTTGTTAAGAGTTTATGCAACACATGGAAGCTTGATTTCAATCTTTGAATTAAATTGAAAAAAAAAAGAGACACAAATAAAGAGACATAAAAAGAAAAGTTTTTGGGTAGGTCAGAAATACTACAGAAACTGAATAAAGTAATGCAATGTAAAATAACACTGGATAGTCTTTTAGTCCTGACTGAATTAAATACATAGGCTATTAATTCTGATTCCTTACAATTAATGCTATATTATGTTGTTTTAACAACAAAATGAATGACAGACACATATGGCTGCGCTCACTTTAAGAGCTAGTGCACGGATCCATTACTGTTTCATTATACTGTCTGTCACACGCGTATTATGCTTATTTAAGACATAACCGACTGTCTTTACGAGGTTACTCACCAAGACCAGAGTTTTGACATAATTTAGCGTGTTTTTAACTGTTAAAGCGATATAATCCCTGGAAAAGAACTTTTGTTACTGGCGAGCTGTTTGTGAGGCGGATTTAGGCTTTACTGTACAGTTGTGCACGCAGTGAAAACATCTCTGAGAGCGCGCAAGCACTGAATAGTTTAAAATTGCTTGAATGTTTAAACTGGTAAAACTTAAAAAGACGTGAAAATGATAAACGTTAGTTACGATGCGCTGCTGGCCCGATTGTGCAAGTGAATATTCCGTCATGTCCGGACTCCTGAACACGAGTGTGTATCGACCCCTGCTGCGCTCGACGAGAGAGAAGACGTGGCACCGCGAGCCCTGAACATGGGAAAGATCGATTCGTGGCCGATGAGAATAGATTTTGAATCGACCACATTTAAAAAAACGATTAATCGATTTTTTTTTGCCCAGCCCTACTATATTTCCATCTTGTAATGCTGCCGTTTTGGTTTTTATTTATTTATATAATTTATTAGTAATAGAGCACACACTGAGTTTTTTAATGGGTTATGTTATAGCCCTACTTGTTTTTAATGTCTTAATGAAATATCTGTATTGACTACATGATCATATCGCGTATTATTTACCGCCATGCGAGCCACATCGTATCAAGTATCGTGAGTAACAGTGCCCACGGCAGTCAGCTGAGGAGTTAACGCTAGTAATGCTGGGAAATATCTGAGGTTTCTAATGCTGGTTTTCCGCAGTGTCGATACACGGGTAACTCCTGCGTCTCCTTTCTCTCGGACACACTGCAGTCTGTGTGTTGATATTCAGTGATATAGTGTGTTACTGCATGTTTCAGAGTGAAGCGCGGCACTGTGTTCATTTACACGCGCTCAGCTCATGATCCGGTGTTTCCAGCGTCTCAGAGCGGCTTCACAGTGAGTGAATGCAGTGAACTCCATCTGTACATGAGCTGCCAGTCCAAACCTGCTCTGGTTCATCAGCTCAAGCTCTTATTACCTTTTAATAACCGGCTGTTATATCAATCTGCGTATGTGATAAACATAAGTTATGCTCAACTTTGGTAACTCTGGAGTAAAACGGCTCTATATTTAAAGGGGACCTATTATGCAACAGTGTTTCCCCTACCCGCCCCCTCATATCGCCCCCCGCCCCCCCATGAAAGAGTGACAAAAACATATTAAAATAAATTAAAATGAAGCATGAGCAGTAACTTTAGCGGCGATGCAGAGAACGCGGACGGAAGCGCGGAATCCAGTCATAAACACTGAATTTTCTGTATAAAGTTTTTTTTTGTCCATTTTTTTTTTATGAATAAATAAAAAGCAGTTCAGTACACTTGAAATCAAATCGCAATATAGCTAGACTGTGTGAATATTAAACCACACACACACCTACTGAAGTGTGACGCTCGAGCTGTTTTTTGCCTATACGAGGACACGCATGCATGAACTTCAGCTCCAGACTCCAGAGCCGCTCTGAGAGCATTTATCCGCTTCGGTTGAGGAAAACTATCACCATGTCAAACACACAAACTCAAAGGTCTTCACGGCAACCCTGTAACACTCTCAATATTAGTGAGGAGACATCAATAAAGAGACAGAGAATTCAGTCATTTCCGGATGCACAAAGATGTGTATTATACAAACACCCAGAATAAATGTATATCTTTCTTCACTTGAGTAAAGTCCATCTTATCATAACTTAGAGCAGTTCCCATAGTCTTTGCACAAACAGATGAACCAGATATCTCTTACCGCTCATTTTAGTCCCAGCCCCATTTACCCCAGTCCTTTGTGTGGCATTACATCAGGAAGTCCAATCAGTCACGAAGCACTCCATGAAGACACAAGTAAATCCTGCCAGCGAGGCATTTGCTGCAAACAAGGATATCCACCTGGTAACTAAGAGAGGCGTCAATTGGAAAAGTTCCCGGGAAACAACCACCACCACACACTGGTTCCTACCCCTTATATACATCTGAAATCATCATTCATGAAAGAAAACACCAGAGAGGAAGAAACAAAAACAGGACACAATACAAGAGTCCAGTACAGCATTATAGAAAATGGAGTCAAAAGAACTTCATAGTATTAGAAATCAAGATATACCACTTGATAACCTTAACACAATTTCCACTCTTACATAACACACTGACATAAATTAAGTATACATATGTAGAGGTGCCACAACCCGCCAAAATAAAAGTTTGGTTTAATGTGACAGATATATATTACTGTTGTACAGTAGTATTTAGATACGTCTCAATGTAATAATACTAACACTAACTTTAAGGAATAATCAATTTTTCTTCCATGTTTTAATTTGAACAGTAAAGCTCATTGTGCAGCATGTAGTTTGACAAAGTTTGTTCAATTTCATATGATTAAAATAAATTAATGTTTTATGTCCTCATTTAATTACCATAAAAAACACAACACCGAATTTATGTGAGGGGAAAAAAACATTTCATAGAATTTTTTTAAAGTTTAATAATTGTATAAGTTTCATGATTTCAATTAATTAGACATGCTTTTTGATAGCTAAAACTTTTGCACCACGTATCCGTAACGCGCCCGCTCCGCGACACTGGGGAGAATAAATGGGGAAAAAAAATCTAATCGGGTAAAAATCTAATCGAACCGTAGCCAGCAGTTTGAATGGAGTTTGAATGGTGTTTTGACAATTCAGAGCCAACGAATCACGAATACGAAAAAACGCAGTGTGCAATGGCCTTTATTCTGTATTTTTTTCTGTGCGTGCACACACACACACACACACACACACACACAAACACACACAACCTGACGCGTGCAGCCCTGCACATAGACAGAGCAGCGCGCAAGGACTGACTGAGCTCTCTTT